CCCTGGGCTGCGGACAATTCCAGTGGCAATGGCAAGTGGTGCAGGACCCAGCCAGTGGCACATAATTATTCCAGGGGGGGCCTCCACATCTGAAGGACCCATGGGCAAATTGAGCCCCTAAGCACCCTGGGCTGCATACAGGCTGCCCTAAGCAGCTACAAAGCAAAGGACTGTGAGAAGGTTGCAGAGCCAGGACTGTGGACAATTCCAGATTGTACATGTATGTACCTACCTCTGGGTTCTTCTGGTATCTCTCTCATGTATGTACATGTGTGTACATCTTGGAATATTATTCAAAAAAATGTTCCAAATTTATAGGTAGTATATACCTTGAACCACTACCTAGCTAAAATATTATTTCAGAAATATTATTCCAGTAGGTCAGATGACCCCTGGAATAATGTTTTAAGCCACCCCCCTATCATACATGTATGTCTCAGGCATGTGTCTGCAGGAATGTCTCTAGTCTCTGTGTACCTATCGCCGGGAACGAAATCCACAGCAAGTACAGACAGACAGACAGCGACAAACAGAGACAGGCCGACAGACCAACAGACCAGCAAACAAACAAACAGACAGACCGACGGACGAACGGACGGACGGGACCAGACTCTGACCAGACCAGACCAGGCCAGACCAGACAAGACCAACAAAATCAAACAAACAATGGACAAACAAAAAAACAAACAACCAAACAAACATGCAGAGGGACAAAGAGGCAGCCAACAGCATATTGTGGGACAGGGGTGCGTGCAAAAGGAAGTATGAATTTTCCCGTTACCCGAGAAACACAATACGATACCTCAATACCAAAGGTCAGTATGTATGTAGGAAGGTATATATGTTCAGGGATACATACATACTCCAAACTCCAGCGTGGGATTTGGACATATTTATGTCACCCGCAGAAACATACATACCTCAATATCGAAGGTCATATATAGTCATCCTGGACCAAATAGGACATGGAAAATTCCAAAAAACCTAATAGAACAGTGATAATGTTTTAGATGATTCGTCATATT